AATTTTTAGTTTACTTTTTTCGTCTTTCGGTTTACAAGTTCAAAAGTTATGAGTTCGGAGGTTTATGTATTTCGAAGTTTACGGGTTTAGAAATTATAAAGTTTACGGGTTCGAAATTTCGCTGTTTCGAAAATTTTGCGGTTCAGAAGTTTATGAAATTTGTGGGTTCGGAAGGTTGTTGGTTCGAAAGTTTATGGCTTCATGTTTATTGTATCAAAATTATTTATGAATACTCTTGAGAAAATATTTTCCTTGATTTGCGTACCAAACACCAAAAAATGAATAAGATTACTATTTATTTTCCAAAAAAATATTTTCTTGGAAAATATTTTTCTTTATACCAAACACCCTAAAACATAGTGGTTTCTGAAAGTTTCTCATAAGTAATTCTTGGTGCCAGAAACCCAGCTTGATTTGGGCTTTAAGCTAACCAAGCCCAATAACTACTATTCACGTCTGAACCAAGCCCAACAACTAGCAATCCGGATACATACCCGACTAGAATTTTTCATCAAACCGGATCCAAATTTCTACCACCTACGCCACTGATAAAGTGATAAAAATTCTGGATCATAAGTGAAAACGAGTGGCTCTCTTCTTGACCCACTTTTCATTAATTAATACTTCAGAAAAAAACCATGGCCCCAGAAACTGTGCAGAATGAAGGCAGCAATGGCGAACGCTGTCACACTCTCTAGCTCAACAATTTGGCACCACTATACAAAACCCACTTCAAGAATCAACCTCAATTTCAAAATTGGAGCATCATATTCCACCTCAGCTAATATGGCTACTGGCACCACAACAAAAGTAGCTCCTGCAATCATAGTCGGAGGTGGACGTGTGGGCAAAGCTTTACAAGATTTGGGTAATGGAGATGATGTTTTGGTTAAAAGGGGTGAACCTGTACCTATTGATTTTGCTGGTCCAATATTGGTTTGCACTAGGAATGATGATCTTGAAGCAGTACTTGAAGCTACTCCTAAATCTCGTTGGAGCGGTATGTATGCTGGACTTCCCCTTACTATACTGTTACTCTGTATTATTGTTTGATTGAGCATGGAGTTCAAGGATTTTTGAAACATGTTATAAAAACAAGTAATAAAAATTTGTGTGACTATAAATGATATTGTCAAGTGTAAAATAAAAAATTCAAAATTGAAAGAATAACAGGAGTATAATTTATTTTCCCCATTAGTACATTTCAGTTGTTTTGTTTACTACGTACAACACGATAATTTCGTTCTAAGGTGTTATGCTATATTTGTTAATATCTGTGACTTTTGATTGAAGCTAAGCTTAGGCGCTGCAGAAATTTCTGTTGTTAATAGTAGTGTTGTTGATGTGATAAATTTGTTTTTTTTTCTCTCGTGCATTGATGGTGTATTGTCCAATATTTCTAGGAGTCTTTTAGTAGATTTGAAAGAAATATTAATATGCCAATAGAAAATGTAGAGAACTTTAGTATTGCTTTTTATTTTTATTATTAAGTACGTAGTTTATTTTTATGTAAATGGAGTGATATGAATAGTGAGTTCATATACCTGATGCTTAACTTCCTTGGGATTGAGGCGTATTTATTGTGTTGCATTGTTAATGTACTATTTCCTTTTTTCTGAATTTCTTTTTGGGTGTAGTTTGGGCTAACTTATGTTTTAATGGATGATGTGACCCTGTAATAAATCTTGATGTGGCAGATTTGGTATTTTTCCAGAATGGAATGCTGGAGCCTTGGTTCCAAAGTAAAGGTCTCGGTGATGCAGACCAAGTTTTGGCATATTTTGCAGTATCAAAGCTTGGTGAACCTCCTACTGATGGGAAAACTGATACCAATCCAGAAGGATTGACTGCAGCTTATGGAAAATGGGCATCTGCAGTGGCTGCAAGATTACAGGCTGGTGGACTCTCTTGCAAGGTAAAGAATGAACTTCACATGGTATTATTTGCTCATTATAACATTATAATCATGCAGTGAAAATTCCCGTTTGATGCTATTGAATTGAAAGTTGGCTAGAAGACTTTTTTCAGAATATGGATTTAAGTTTAGTGTGCTGTATTTTGAACACTTCAACATACATGTTTAACATTAGCATCAATTTGATTTCCTCCATGATGAACTAGACTCACTTTCCCTTTATCGAAAAACTAGACTCACTTTCCTCCATTGAAGGCTTCTTATTCAACAGGGTAAGGTTGCGTACTATAGACCCTTGTGGTCCGCCCTTCCCCGGACCCCGCGCATAGCGGGAGCTTAGTGCACCGGGCTGCCTTTTTACTACTGATAGTATACCTCTTTCATTGATTGAAGACCTCTTTCATTTTATTTCATCGTGTACCTTACCAAGTGAAGTCTTTAGAGATTGCATCTCCTTTTCTAATTTTCACCTACAAGTTTACATGGTCCAGGAAGTCCATTATTCATCTTCAAGCACTGTGCCTTGTAGTAGCCTGCACTAATCCGCTACTCGGATCTGTAATGCATTTTGTGTTTGTGAAAAACCAGGTACTTGAGAAGGAGCCTTTTCAGAAGCAAATGTTGGAGAAGCTTATATGGATATGTGCTTTCATGCTTGTTGGAGCTCGTCATCCTGGAGCAACAGTAGGAGCTGTTGAAAAAGAGTATCGCTCTGAGGTGAGTGACTCATCTATGAAATCCTTTGAAAGATATCCACTTTTAATTTGCTTTTGAAAGCTTAGGTTGCATTATTTATTTATCTTGTTTCAGGTCTTAGAATCAACTACCCTAACACCATAACTCCTTTAAGACTACTGTTAGTTTCAAAATTAAAAAAAAATAAAAAAATCAAAAGAAGCCACCTTGTTTTAAGCTAAGTTGTGCGGGCTCTTCGATTTTGGTGCCGTCCCCGTCCCGATACGAGACGTGGACCGGAGCGGGAGCGGGATATGTCCCGGATTCGGTCAACTGACTCCGGTCACTTTGACCGGAGTCCATCGACAATTTGGGAGAAAAATTGAGATTTTGATTTTCAAAATAAAAAATAAAACAGATTTAGGTGAATGAAAGAATAATGTCCATCTTGGAGAATGAAAGATCGAATTCTACAATATTCATGTAAGTTTTTCTCAGAATATCTCTCAAAATTTACAATATTTTTATAGCTCTATTTTTTATTAGCCGAATCCGCGCACCCGTATCCATATCCATATCCGGATCCGCACCTCTGAATCTTATTAGATTTTGCTGAACCCGATATTTGGATCCGTCCCCGTATCGGATACCCGCACCCGAGTCCGAGCAACTTAGGTTTTAAGTGAGAGAGACAGAGAACACAAACTGATTTGTATTGCTGTTGTTGCTATAGCCTATGTAGAGACACCTTGTATGAGGTATTAGGAAAGCTCAAATAACTACTGATACTTTAATTCACTTTTCAGCTGATTTTCCCGTACATAGGATTAAGAATATGGAACGTTTGCAGCTCAGATCTCACACAGAAGATTTCACTAGTGGAAATAGAATTAACCAAAACACTGTGTATTGACGATATTCATGGTATTAGTGGCTTACATATATGTAGTGTATCAAGAGAAACTGGTTTTGGTTCTCATCAACTCTGTTTCTATTGTATAGTTACCGTAATTGTTGCTCGAGGCCGCATCAATGGAGCATAGCATTTTTATTCGGTTCTACAGTAATTCTTGGATCTTCTAATCCATGTTGTGTCAGTGTTTAGACCAACTATACATTGTATGCAATGGGGACTAAATGCACTCTGGAAAGTTCTTGTTCCAGTTTTTACCAAATTGAGTCACCCTTGTCCACATGAAAAGGCAAAGTACCACCTAACCTAGGCTGGGTTTCAGGCTCTCCGCATCACCCATTTCTTTGCTTTTCCTCTTTTTGTCCCCCTCATTTTTCCAAACTAATGTGGTTTTCCATGGCCATTTTGGTCATAGTCAAGCAGATGCTATTAATAAGAGGAGCTGAAAGTTGGATGCTTCGCTTTCTTTCTAATTGTTTGCAGCAAATACAGGTGATAATGTAGATGCCAGGACGTTATTAACTTAGTTCACTGTTTTCAGGTGTCTCAACTGATCGCTGAGCTTGCAGCTGCAGCAGCTGCAGAGAAAGGTCTAGTTTTTGAGGAAGCGATGGAGGATAGGCTGTGCGCTTACTCCCGAGCGGTTGCACACTTTCCAACAGCTGTCAAGGAGGTAAGAAATTTAGATTTCTTAATTGACATTATAATTTGAATTGTGTGTTTTAACCATCCTATTTGTCTGATGTTTGTAGTTCAAATGGAGAAACGGATGGTTCTATTCACTCTCTGAGAAGGCAATCGCAGAAGGGAAACCAGATCCATGCCCATTACACACTGCATGGCTTAAAGAACTAAAAATAGTCTAAGGTATAAAGTGTACTTGGTATATCATATAGTTTTTAGAGGCCCTCTGTTTCTTTTGGAGGATGTAGATGAGAGCTGCTGTATCATTTCATTGTAATGTGGAAGTCTTACTCCTATTTCATGTTGGATTCATCTTATTTTTCTGCCTTCATTGGTGGAAAAGCTTCTTGTTATGTGACTTGAGTCACGTAGGATAACCAGCGCTTATGTAAATTGTTTGACGTGCTAGATGAATCTGAGGTATTAAAAATATATTGTGTAAAACTATCCATTATTTATCCCATCTCCGGTTCGTTTAATTTCTCGCATATATAAAAGCTGCATAAAGTATATATGCAGTTCATGTATTAGCTGTACTTGGTTAAAACCTTGTTAATACAATTATACAAATTACTGTTAGGAAAATGGCGTTCTGATCGTAACATATGATGATTATCATGTACTATAATATAATTGAATGTTCAATCAAGCACCCAAAAAAGAGAGGAGATCCTCACATAATTGTCTGTTACTATAGTAGAACTATGACATCCTTCATTGAGCCAAACGTTCATCCAAACGAAGCTATTTACATAACAAAGCAGTGATATACTGATTAAAGATTGAAAATGTTTTTTGGAACAAATGATGCCGTACAAACCAAATACTTGTTTTAATATACACAATCTAACTTTTTATGCAATGAGCTAAGTAGGAACAAGCTGTCTATCACCCATATCCTAATGGAAGCATATGAACCAAATTCGAGATGAGGAATAATCTTTATTTGAAAGTAAATAACGATAGTCGGGACAAGTTAGTGTGTCAACGGTGCTGTATAACCTGGGGGATGAATAAGATATTGTATCTGTTAATGTATGAATGTGTTCTCTCATATTTTTATGGAACTGAAGTAAATATACAAAGACCACCTACACCATTTTTTCCACAATTCGATACCTTTTTCCGACATATCGAACCAGAAGATTAAACAAAATAAAATAGAAAAAAATATGAATGAGATGTGGAGCATGTCCCTTGATGTCCCCACTCTCCAGGCCTGTGAGATTTCTCCAAGAATTGACATTCAGTTTCATCTTTTGCAATAAACCATGACGAATTTTGTGCCCTTGTATTAATGGCAGATGTCCAACCAGCCTGGGTATTACTGTGGGCACTGGAGCTTCTGTTCCTGGTCGCAGCCTCGCAACCAAACTAGTACCCTCTCCGGGGAGATTGAGGCAATGTTTGCCTATTAAAAGCTCCCCGGGTGGGTACTCCATCCATGTACTCCTTTCATTCTTGCAAATCTATGTAACAACTGCAAACACTTTAGAACATGCTCTAACCTCCCAGCATTAGACTGTGGATTCGATGGATCAAGAAGATCAAATGTTGCCGGCGACAAGCCATCAGCTGTTGTACCAACATTTTCATTTAAGGAATAAAGCACCTTTCGTCTCAACCATCATAATCCAAGTCCTTCGTATTCTGTGTTGTTGCTCGCCTAAGTAGTTTTCCTCCATCATCATACAAATCAAGATTCTCACATGGGGCAGGGAAGATTCTTCCAATAACACGTCCTTGAACAAAAGAACATTGGAAGATATGCTTCTTCTTGTATGTTATTCCTACGGACATGTCCTGAAAAGTAATATTCTGAATAGGAATCTCAGGGCTTCCATAAATACGTGCTGGTATTCGAACTCCTTGTCCACGAATACCAGTAAAGCTTATATCCTCAATAACTGGAAGGGCTTTTGGATCATAACCTTCATCAGGATGCTCATTGTAATCAGTCTTAATTACAATGCCCACACGAACATTCTCTAGTGTCAGGTTGCGGTAGCTTACATGTCGAATATGACCACCCCTACCCGGGCTAGTTTTAATTCTTATACCTCTTTTTGAGTTCCATACAAGGAGATTCTCCACTACTATATTTGACACTCCACCAGACATTTCACTTCCAATTGATACTCCTGCACTGTTAATAATGAACGAGTCAGTTGACATTAAAACCAAAAGGACGCAGCACTCAAGCTCTGACTTAGTCTCTAGCGATGAAGTGAGAAAATAAATATGTAACCGCAAGTTAGTGATGAAAAAATTTAATGCAGCAGGGATTATGCATAACTTTTACGCTGACAGATCCAGAGAGGTAATAACAACAGGAAATGATATTTTTTTTTTTTGCAGCAAGGAGTAAACTTGAAGAAAATTATAATATAATAGGGAAACAAATATTACCTAATCATTGAGCGGACTATGAGGTTACGGATAGTGATGTTGGAAGAAGGCCGGGAATATGCAATTCCATACTGATCCCAGCCACTCTTGATTGCAACTCCATCATCCCCCACACTTATATAACAATCCTCTATCACCATATTCTCGCACGAATCTGCATAGGCCAAACAACAATATAAGATCCATCTGCTCAATATTTTTGTCTTAAAGGATATGACACAGAAAAACATACTTATGCAATAGCATTGAACATGTAAAAATGACCTAGTCTTCCAGTTTACAACCTCACAAGTCCCTCCTTCCCAAAATGAATGAACCATTTCAGACTTAAGATTATATATAGAGAGTGAGATAAAATACGGCTAGCTCTTTCTAAAATAGAAAGTAAATCTTCAGAAAACACATGCCTACCAAACAGTAAAAATTAGCATGTCTAATAATGTACCTTTTTAAAAACTAGTGTTCAATGAAACATTTGTTTGAAAAGTCAAGGAGTGGAGAGCAAAACAAGATATTTCTGCTGGTACGAAGGTATTTTATACACTTGCCCTGAATGCATTAGTTTCTAAAGAAAGGAAGTCTTGGATGAGATGGAGCAAATTTCTTCTTTTTTGACAATTATCTCTTCATATTACAAAAGTTTTTTGGTTGAGAAAGCAATTCCTACAGAGCATATGTCTATGGCAGGTCAATACAAGCATTTAAAAGATCAAAGGTGATGAAGTGGCAGAAAGCCGATATCCAAATTACAGATATAAAACCAAGGGATCAAGAAAGGCATGAAGAACGATTTCTTAATACAAGGGAATAAGGAGGACTCACCAGGGTCTATTCCATCAGTGTTTGGGGCATCAGACAATGGAGCCAAAATAGTTACATTTCTGATAATAACATTTTGGCAGTCGTAAGGGTGGAGAGTCCAGAATGGAGAATCACGGAATGTAACATCAGAAATGTGAATGTCTTTCGACCACATAAGTTGAAGAAGTGGGCCCCTTGTGTGATTCAAAAGCTTTTTGCGGTATTTCTCCCACCATGATTGGCCTTGCCCGTCAATGGTACCATTATGGCCTGTCGCTCAATTGTTTAAACAATCAGAAACATTTTCGCACTATGCTGAATCAATGTTTCAGTATCACATTTAAATATGCACTTTGTTTGGCGAGCTTGTCGCTATAGGAGAGAACATGGTGCAGAGGCAACACGCAGTTATCCGAAAACAAGATACATAGCTTATCAAGTCAATATTAGAGGCCAAAAGCAGAGATAGGGGACAAAGAACACTCTGCAGAACAGCACGCATGACAGTGACCATACATATTTTATTATTATAGTTTTACTATCTTGAGCTTCTTAACCCTATCTGTAACACAAGATATATTGGGAAACACTAGACAAACTTAATAACTTAGCATGTGCACAAATCTTGAAGAGGAATGGGTCCTTCTCACCAGGCCTTAACTACCACACAGATAACTTGGGAAACACTTCAAATGTATAGTTACTTATATTAATTTGTAAACAGTGAGAAATTAGCACTGATGCAAAATTGAAGGAATAATTGAAAAACTACTTTACAGCTTTTTAGTAAGGTATTACAACTTTACCTGTTATGACGACATCCTTAAGATTTTGCCCGTGGATTAAACTTCCATAACGTGGCCCACGACGTTCTCTTCCATAACCATATGATGGCAAAGGAGGCAATAGTGGCCAATAGCTCTCGTCCTGTTACATGCATTTAAATCCTTATAATTTAGCAACAGTACGTATATGACCTTTGACCGAGCATACTTGCCTATACTGTTGTACCACAATAGACCTAATAATTGTTCGGATGTGACAAAACAACATGTGCTGAAGTTACTTCTCAAAGAAGGAAATAAATGAACCAATTCATAAAAGCTTCAAACAGTAATCAATCTCAACCATCTAATATAAGATGAACTTTGACACATTAATAGAGACAAGATCTCATGTCAAAGTTTGCCCCAAAAGTCCAATAGCAGTTGAGTCTATTGGCAAACAACCAACTGTAGCCATCTTTCACGAGTCTGAACTATCCAAGAGTTAAATAAACTTCAGTTGATTTTATAGCATTACTGTCTGCATTTAACAGTTCTGCACATAACAAGGTCAGTACCATCTTCTCATTTCAGCATAGATGCGTAATTTTGGGCATTCCTGACAGGTGTAACTGCATTTGTTCTTCCCTAGATAAATGACTTTCTCGTGCACATGCATATAAAACAGGAATATTTTGTTTTTTCTTTACATGGAAATATAGGCATTTTATTAGCATCTGCCCTTGTTGCTTACTGCCATTCCTATACCGTCCTCTTATATATTTCTGACCATTTCCGACAGGTGTAGGTGCAAAATTCACCCCCCCCCCCCCAATGTATGCAATTTTTCATGCGTGTACATACACAATGGCAGTAACTTGTGGTTGTTGTTAGTAAAGGAACAGAAAAGGGTTATGTTCCAGCCCTATTAGGCATACTCAACAGAAAATTACTATTAGGACCTGTCCTAAATCTTTTAAGATATATTAGTAACATTAACTAGATTCCTTTTATTACCCTCCGAACTCCAGTATCCTTGAGTAACATAAAAATTGCAGAGTAAATAATAGTAGTAGTATTTTTTTCTTTAAATTTTAGACCCGTCACCACTTCTCCGTCGTGAAGTCTGACATTTCCACCATTACATTGCATGCTGAGTTGCAGGTGACCTAACATATTTGCGATCACTCTTGATCCCAAAACCCAACTATGTACACTAAAGGGGTGAACTATCAGGTCTCCGGTTGGTATTAGAACTTGAAATACAAGTAAAATGACTCGTTCTGTTGGAGTTAGTAACCAAATTTCCTGTAATTACTAATTTACTATTAAAGGTTGAATTTTGAACACACAGTACTTCTGGCCGAACTAAAAGCCGAACCTTTTCAAACAGTTTAGCACCGGGAAATTAAACGATATCTAGTACGCACAGGAAACTTACATCAATTCCAAGTATAACGGCATTTTCAGCTAAGAAGAGCGTCATGTGGCTAGTGAGATTAAAT